GCGCACTTAACCACCAAGCCACAGGGCCGGCCCTATTATTTTTTTTTGTGAGGAAGATCAGCCCTGAGCTAACATCCATGCCAATCCTCTTTTTGCTGAGGAGGACCAGCCCTGAGCTAACATCTATTGCCAATCCTCCTCCTTTTTTTCCCTTTTTCTCCCCAAAGCCCCAGTAGATAGTTGTACGTCATAGTTGCACGTCCTTCCAGTTGCTGTATGTGGGCCGCTGCCTCAGCATGGCCGGACAAGTGGTACATTGGTGCGTGCCCAGGATCCGAACCTGGGCTGCCAGTAGTGGAGCACACGCACTTAACCACTACGCCATGGGGCTGGCCCCGATGGTCCATTGTTAGGTGTGTGAATGTTTATAACTGTTATATCATCTTGCTGTAGTGAATCTTGTATTAATATATAATGTCCTTCTTTGTCTCTTGTAAACTTTTTTGATTTAAAGTCTGTTTTGTCTGATATTAGTATAGCGCCCCTGCTCTCTTTTGGTTACTATTTGCATGGAGTATTTTTTCCCATCCTTTCACTTCAATCTATTTGTATTTTTGGATCTAAAGTAAGTCCCATATAGGCAGCATATAGTTGGATCATGTATTTTTATACATTCTGCCAATCTCTGTCTTTTGATTGGAGAGTTTAATCCATTTATACTTAGAGTAGCTACTGATGAAGAGGGACTTCTATAATTTTGCTATTTGTTTTCTATATGCCTTGGAGCTTTGCTCTCCCTCATTTCCTGTATTACTGTCTCCTTTTGTGTTTAGTTGATTTTTTGTGGTGAAGTTTACATTCCTTTCTCACTTCCTATTGTGTATATTCTATTGTTATTCGTGGATACCAGAGAATTACATTTAATACCTTAAAGTTATAATGCTCTAATTTGAATTTATACCAGCTTAACTTCAATAACAGAAAAGCTCTGTTTTTTTTATAGCTTCATGCCCATCCCTTTTGGTTGCTGATTTCACAAAATTACATCTTTATATACTGTGTGCCCTAAAACATGAACTAGTAATTATTTTAAATGCACTGAACTTTTAAATTATGTAAAGAACAAAATTTGGAGTTACAAACCAAACTTACAATAATACTAGCTTTTAGACTAATAATTGGGTTTTTAAAAAATGTATTAGTCTCTTAAATCATGCAAAAAAACAAAAAGTGGAGTTACAAACCACTGTTACATAATACTAGCTTTTACAATTGCCCATGTATTTACTTTTATTGAGATCTTTGTGTCTTCATATGGCTTCACATTACCGTCTAGCGTCATTTCATTTCACCCTGCAAGACTCCCTTGAGCATTTCTTGCAGAGAAGGTCTGGTGGTAACTAACTGGTGATAACCAAGTCCCTCAGCTTTTCTGTATCTGGGAACGTCTTAATTTCTCCCTCACTTCTTTTTTTTTTTTTTTTAACAAACTTCATTTTTATTTTATTTATTTATTTTTGTGAGGAAGATCAGCCCTGAGCTAACATCCATGCTAACCCTCCTCTTTTTGCTGAGGAAGACTAGCTCTGAGCTAACATCTATTGCCAATCCTTCTTATTTCCCCCCCCCACAGCCTGAGTAGACAGTTGTATGTCGTAGTTGCAGCTCCTTCTAGTTGCTGTATGTGGGATGCGGCCTCAGCATGGCCCGAGAAGCGGTGTGTCCCTGCGCGCCCAGGATCCCAACCTGGGCCGCCAGTTGCGGCAGGCGCACTTAACCGCTAAGCCACTGGGCAGGCCGTCTCCCTCACTTCTGAAGGACTGTTTGCTGGATATAAGTTTCTTTGCTGATAGTTTTTTTCCTTTAGCACGTTGAATATATTGGTCCACTGCCTTCTGGCCTCCAAAGTTTATGACGAGAAATCTGCTAGTAATTTTATTGAGGATCCCTTGTACGTGATGAGCCGCTTCTCTGCAGCTCCTTTCAAGATTCTCCTCAGCCATTCAGCAAGACCTTGCTTATTATTCCCCAATGAACAGAGAAGGCATCAGCAGGGAACCTTCACAGGCTCCCGCCATGACAGTGGCCCCGACCGGCTCCCTGCCCGAGACCAGTCGCTGAGGCACTGAAATCCATCTCTCTGCCCCAGCCAGTCCTCCTGCCCCAGCAACCTACCGGGAGGGTTTCTAGAAGGGGGTTATGAATGGAGTGAGTGTTTAGGCAAGAGGATTGCCATAGGACTGACCAGCCTGACCCAAACGGCCAATCCGCTAATGAGGTCGGATTGCTGTCTTTGGAAACAACTGACTTTTCTTTTTCGTTTGTTTTTTACCTGTAGCGGAAATCATGTGTTGAAACCCGAGAATGTGTAGGGGCTTCCCACTTCCCTTCCTCATCTTAGTCCTTAGCCCGCCCACGGGTGGTGGGAGGCCTGCTGGGCAGACCTGGGGCTCGGACTTAGGGCGGTTACCACTGCTCCTCAGCCCTGACCCAGCCGGGACTCCGACCGGTTCCCTGGCTCGGCTCCCCGGCCCCTGCCCTTCCTCCTCGGACTCTCGATTGCAAGGCGCGGGGCCGCGTTACCTGTCGGGGGCGATCTCCGGTCCTGCGTCCCCGCCCTCCAAGCCCGCCCCATTCTGGACGCAGCAGGGGAGCCCAGACACCGACCCGGGCCGGCCCTGCCCGCGACCCCCTCACCGCGCCGACCCCGCCTCTTGGACTCACCCGAGCCGGGATGGGCAGCCTGGAGGCCGCGGTGCCCGGGGCTGTCGGAACCCGCCCCCGCCAGCGCTGGGGGCTCGCCGCCCGCCTCCGGGTTTCCCCCGAGTCTTCCACGGTTCTGCGTCTCGGAGTCCGTCAGCGCCCCCAGCGGACAGGGCAGCCATGGGTCTTTATTCTCCACCGGCCGTACAAACGTAGCAGCCACAGGTACTGCCAGTCCCGTGCCCCCGATAAACAAAGCCCCGGGGGTCTCTCTCCGTCTTGCCCCCCTAACAAACAAGGCCCCAGGGTCTCGCCGTGTTCTCTGCTCCCAATAAACATGGCGGCGGGGGGGTGGGAGTGGTCCCTGCCGGTCATGTGCCCCCAACAGACATGGCCCCGAGGTCCCTTCCACCGGAAGTCCGGCGGAGCCGCTGCCGGGTCAGGATCTGAGTCCGTGGTTCCTGTGGGGGCTAGGCAAGTGGAATTTATCACTAACAAAGATCGTCTTAGGTTTTAACCGAGTTACCGTGGTGGGACTGAATATTCCAGCCTCTTCAGCTGCATATCCTAATCTCAGGATCACATCTACAGGTGACCAAATTCTATGTTGATTCCAACTGGTTCACAGAGGTAGCCTTACTTGCAGGTTCTGGGGTCGCTTCTTATTGCCCCTCCGTGCTAAGTGCATTTTTAGTGCCATGATCAAGAACAGCCAAGGATAGCCTGGAACATTTAACAATGTTTCATGCTGCGTGACAAAAGTGCAAAGGTAAGTAAATTACTGGAATCTTCTTACCTTTGGGCAACCACACCAGTTGTCTCCTGAATTAGCTAACTGGGTGGGAGGGACAAACCAGAATGTCTCTGAGGCTCTTGGAAAAGCCTGGGCGCTTCCAGGCATGTGGACCAGGCTCTTCTCTGGTGGCCCTTAGATGAACCCATCATCTGGGCAAGTTAGTGAATTCGAGGGGCGAGTTCACGCTAGTTTGGAAGGAGGTTGGTGTTGGAGAGTGGGATTGCCCAGGACCATGTGAGGGCAGGAGACATGGGAGGGACCAGGAGCTGGGGGAGGAAAAGGGAAGTAGGATGAGGAGAGCACAGGTGCCCCCTCCAGTGGGCGCTCTGGTTGTGCCACGCATGGGTTCTGATTCACCTTCCAAGTGGGCAGACTGACATCCTCCTGCTCTCTGCTTCAGAGCAAGATGAGCTTCAAGGACCGTGCTCCTCTCCTTGGTGGAGTGGGCCACTCTGGGGACATGATGCTGGAGACCTTCAGGAACTTGGTCTTGCTGGGTAAAAACTGCCCTGCAGTTCTTAACTGCATCTTAGCTTCATCCTCTCTTGGCCACAGCCATAGGTTCTGAAGCTGAGTGAGTTTTGGGCTCAGGATCCATCGAGTCTGTGAAACAAGGGAATGCGTTGTCTTACACTTGTACTTACACTGGGAAGACCATAGATTTGATGTCAGACCTGCGATGGGGTTGGTTCTGTACTGAGGATCTTGTTCAAGACATTTAACTTCTCTGAGCCTTGGTTTCTATTAAGAGGAGAATAATTCCTTTCTCATAGGGTTATTTAAATTAAATGATATCAGTATATTAAAGTTCCTAGTTGAATACCTGGCACATAGTAGAGATAAAAAAAAAAGTTTAGTTTTCTCTTCTACATTGTTACAGAGAGTTGGAAATGGGCCATCCCCTTTTGGAGTCCCTGATTTTACACTTTCTTCCTCTTTAAGCTCTTTTGATAACCAACTTAAATACTCCAGTTCCAGGACTCCTCCCAAGGTCTCATATGGAGCCCACAGCCCAGTGTTGGCTGATTTGGCATTGTCGCCGTTGTTTCATCTAGGATTCTTGGTTGCAAGGAAGTATTGGAAAGAAGTCAGGAGGCTCGCAGAATCAAGAGAGAGAGTGTAGGAAGCAAGGATGCTCTGGAGGAGCAAGGGACAGCAGGCCCCACAAAGCCAGAATGGTCTGCTCTGCTGAGTGAAATTACGACCAGTGTTTCCTCTGCCTTTCTCCAATTCACATGCATAGGTCACATGTTCCCCCTGACTGGACTGTGGCAGGGAGAGGAAGCTAATGACCCATCAGCTTCTGAATATGAAAACTTGAATTAATGTCCCTCCAAGATTACACACAGTGTGGCAGAAGTAGTTCCCCAAAAGGAAAACGGTTGCTATGAGAAAGGGGGCAGGTGCTGGAGAGCCCAAAACCAACAAATGCCAACCGTGAGTACACCTTTATCCAGGCACTGTGCCAAGCTCTTTACCCAACGTTATCTCATTTAATCCCAGCAACAAACCAATGAAGGCAGGTGCAACTACTCCCCCCACATTACAGATGAAGAAATTGAGGATCAGAGAGGTTAAGTACCTTGTTTAAAGTCACACAGTAAGTGTTGGAGCTGAGATTTGAATGCAGATCTGCCTGCCTTGACAGTAGTGCTCTTGACCACTGCACCATACTGCTTTTCTGCTGTCCAGTGAGGAAAGCACACACAAGCTTGTTATTTCTCTGTACTCAAATACCACTCTTAACCCACCGTGTAAACCCATCCTCCCATAGACACAGCTTCACTTGGACTTTTAAAATTATGGCTTCTCTAGAAGTCCCTGTCTCTAACAATAGGCCTTCGTACACCTAGAGACTGACACCGGTGCAGGTGTGTTCTGTGTGCCCAAGACATGTCATTTACTTATCTTTGAGCAGGAATCCTATGTTCCAAACCTGGGGTGATCTCCCAGCTGGAACAAGGGAGAGAGCTCTGGGCCCCAGAGAGACACAAACCCAAGGATAGAAAACTCCCAGGAGATGACCACTGCTGCCCAGATGAGCAAAGAGGAGCCAGCCTTCATTCGTTAGTACTGTGTCAGTGAGTGCTCAGTAGGTATGAGGCTCAGTGATGGTCAGTTTTGAACCCCAGCCTCCTCCTGTTTGGCTCTGTCCCTAAGCAGTCCACTGGGTCTGAGATGGAGGGTCCATAACTCTGGTGAAGTGTCATCATCGACCATCTGCAAACACTGTGCCCGGTGTGGGTTTTAACTATGCTGCCCTCTTTCAGTGCCCATCTACACCAAGGACCAGTACTCAAGAGACATACCCACGTATTCACTAATGCGTTGGGTGATGCTTATTCAGCACCAGAAAACCCACTTGGAAGAAAAACTTTATGAACTTAAAGATGGTGACAAAGTTTTCAGGTTAAATAAATTTAAAAAAATCACATTTTATCATAGGGAAAAAATGAGAAAAAATAAAAGTTTGATCCAAATTTGTAATTATGTTAATGGAGAGACAGTATGTTTGGATGTATGTTTTCTTAAACTATGTTTTTCAAGGTCAGGGCACTTCTCTTTTTCTTTCACTATACTTCTCTCATTACCTTATTCATATCAGCCCTTAATAAATATTTTGGTCTATGGAAATGTGGAAAAATCTTTCTTAAGAACTCACAAGTTTCATGCCAGGAGAGGAACCATAGAAAATATGATATTGGGAGAGTAACAGTTCAAATCCAATATGATTCATGATTAAGTCAATCTACATTTATTGTGTAGCTACTATGTGCCAGGTGATGTGCTGGGCAATGGCAAATCAAAGATGCAGAAAGACATGTCTTTCTTCCTCAGGGCTGTCAGTCTAGTCGGGAGACAAATGTACTTCGAGCCAGGTAGCCACGTTGGGACAGTAGTGGAGGTAAGAGACAGGGTGGATGGGGTCCTAGAGGCGGGAGAGGTCTGCAGAGGTAGCTCATCTTCAAAATTCTGAGAGACAGTAACTGCTAACCTCAAACTTTATTTCCATCCAAGCTATCTTCCAAGAGTGAGAATAAAAATAGATGTTTTGGGATAAACAAAACCCAAAACACCACCAAAAGACCTCACTTGAAGGAACTTCAAAAGTATGTGCATTAAATAAGAAGATATCAGATGGAAGAACCGAGATATAAGAAGGAATGACAAGCAAAGAGTATGACGTATATTTGAAAACATTGACTGTAAATAAAAATTACGTCTAATTTGGGAAGTTTAAAAACCAAAATAGAAACAAAGTCAAGACAAGAATAGCAGATGAGTCAGGAAGTGGGGATACAACTGGAGCATTCAAAGGTCCTTGCATTGTTCCGGAGGAAGATAAAAATATTGTTTAACCTAAGATTTTAAGAGTGCATGTTAAATTTTCAGGATTACCATAAAATAATAGAAATAGAGTGTATCATTTCCAAACTAGTAGAGAGGGAAACAAGGAAAGAAAGAAACAATCCCCAGTCAATCCAAAGTAAGGTGAGAAATGAAAAAAGTGAGGGGGGAAAAAAAACAGAAAAGCAGGATGCAAGTCATAAAACTATCAGTGGGTTAAACTTTCCTCCATGAGGCAAAGATTACCAGACTGGATTTTTTGAAAAAAAATCAAGCTATATGGAGACCTACTCAAAACCTGAGGACACAAAGTTTGAAAGTGAGAAGATGAAAAAAGAAAGCTATTGAAGCTGTATGAGATGAAATCAACTTTAAGACCAAAGTCATTACTGTAGATAACAGAATGCCATTACATAATTCTGAAATGTTCATTTAGCCAGAAAGATACAAATATTTTAAATTCACAGAATAAAATAGTTTTAAATATACTTCAAAAATTGTAGAATTGCTAAGAGCAATACACAAACTCACCATCATAGTGGGAGGGTGTTACATGCCTCTTTCAATAATTGGTAGATCAGACAGACAAGAAAATCATTAAAGATTGAGGTTTTTTCCTTCCTGACACCAAATACATGGTGTCTTCTCCAACACCAGCTGGGAGTCCTATAATTCAGCTCATCTCAGACCCTAACTGCCTGGAGTTAGTGCAGACTGCACAGATTAAGGGCTCAGCCCACAAGACTGTCCCTACTTCAGACATAGTCACAGGTGTCAAGTGCCTGGGGCACTCACACTTCTGTGTGACTGAGCTACAAAGTCAGGGGTTCCCACATCCCGCCACCCCGGATTCAATAATTTGCTAGAATGACTCACGGAACCCAGGAAAATGCTATACTTACTATTATAGTTTATTAGAGAGGGTACAAATCAGTAGTCAGATGAAGAGGTACATAGGGGAGGTCTGGAAGTGTCCCAAGTGCAGGAGCCTCTGT